GCGCTCAGCCCAGGCGGTTAGTGCAGGGCCCGGCAGCCGAGGGAGTCCGCGTGCCCGGGCGCGGGGCTGCCTCCCGGGGAGGTGCCCATGAGCGCGCGGTAGGTTGGGCGGAGCGCGCGGGGCGATGTCTGCCTGCAAGGGGCGCGGGTCTGCAGGGATCACACGGCGCTGTCAGCGCCGGTCCTGCGGGCCCCCTCGGCGCGGCCCTGGTGCCGGGCAGAGCCCCCAGGCTCTTGACCTGCGTGATGAGGAGCTCGGCGGCCACGAACAAGCCTGGACACCGCTGTCTTCGCACCAGCTGGGGATCCCGGGCCCGATCAGAACAGGGCCCCGTTTTCGCCAGGGCTTGGGGCACACCCACGTCCCGCTGTCCGGCGCAGCGCGGGGCCTGCAGTGGGGCGCTGGGCCCCAGCCCTGCGCTCACCTGTTCCCTCGCCGTCCTGGCCGCCAGCAGCTGTACCGAGCCACACTCCAGCGAGGCCTGCAAGGTGGCAGTGCCGGAGCTGCGATCTGTGTGCAGCGAGGGTGGTGGGACACGAGGGGCTGTTGCTGGGCATCGGGCTTTGGGGGTGTCATCGCTGCACGGGCACCTGTGCACGTGGGGTGTCTGCTTCGCGGCTGTCACTGTGCGAGGGGGCCCATGTGTGAGGGGCTCGGGCAGCCGGTCAGGCAGCCCAGGGGAAAGGCGAAGCTTCCCTTCATGCTTTGGAGACTCCTTCCAGGCAGGGCCTGAGGACCTGGCCCAGGGCTGGGAGTCATCAGAGGGCGTAGATGGGACGGGACAGATGCTGCTCCTGCCCGGGGCTGGCTGTGCTGCCTGGCCTGGCACAGCCCAGGGGAAGGTTTGGGCTTTGCCAGGGTTGTGCCAGGTGAGCAGCCCAGGCTCCGGCCTCCCGTTAAGTGCATAGACCCCAGACGCCGCGTGGGGATCCTGGGGTGTGTCTCGGTGCTGCTGCTGTGGCAGAGGCGAAACCCTCTCCCGGCTCCACGCTGCTCTGTCTGCACATCCATCGCTCCTCACCAGGGCATCGGTGCTTGGCCTCTGTGCTGTGCTCCCTGCCGTGCTGATGGACCAGGCGCCACGTCTGTGGCCGGATGCAGCCACTGGTGCATGGCTTGTGGCCCAGCCCTGAGGGCTCCAGCGAGCGGCTCTTGGCTCCGGGATGGCAGGAGACCATCACACCCCATGATTTGCCTTGCAGCTCCTCAGCAGCGTCTGGCCCCAGCTCCGCAGAACTCTGTGCACGGCCGACACCAGGGACGGGGCATCCGCGTGTGCAGAGGGATGGGGCTGGCAGCTGCAGGCCCGAGGAGTTCCTACCGCGTGCTGGGGGGGCGACACTGTTCCAGCCCTCCCGCTCTGGCCGTGACTGGGGCAGGGCTGGCGCTCAGTCCTCTGCTGCAGTGACCGTTGCCTCTGGAAGCCTGCCGGGGCCCGGGGCCAAGGTGACTGCAGCAGGGGAGAGTGATGGGGTTGGGGGCAAGGGGGGCTTTCCCTGGGCCAGACTTTGGTCTGCGGGGACCTGGGTTCACAGCAGCGGGGAACCGGAGCGGATGTTGCTGGGGTTGGGCCATGTCCTGACCTGGAGAGACTGTGGTCGTGCCACCCATCAGGGGTTGAGGGGCTCCCAGGGATGCTGGCTGCTACCACCCAGTGGCACGGGGCAGAGAGGAGGCAGGGGGATCCCGGGGGGGGGACAGGTGTCAGAGCTGGGTCCTGCCAGCCAGGCTGGGAAGCTTGCTGGGCAGTTTCTGCAGGCTTCTTGCCTGCACGAGATGGCTCTGAGTGACCCTCAGCCCTGTCTCTGGGCTCCCTGCAACACCCCCCTCCTTCCCACCAGGCATTGCGTGCCCCCCCCAGCCTCCTTCTACCGGGGTCCCCAACTGCCCTGCCCTGGAGCCCGGGGGGCGTCCATTCCCCCTGCCCACCATGCTCTTTCCTCCTCCCTCAGTCTGGGGGGGCTTCCTGTTGTCTGGCACCCTCGGTGGGTGCAGACACACCACATGTCATACAGGCAGCAGGGCTGGAAGGGATCTCAGGGTCAGTAAACTGAGGCCAGCCCAGACATGGGGCCTTGCCTGGTCTTGGAGACCCCCCGCGATGGGGATACAGGCCTCCCCCAGGCCCCTTGTCCCGGCTGCTGTTGGAAAGGTTTCCATGTCTTTCTGATCGTGCCGCGTGCAAGATGGGATGCAGGACTCCTGCCGAGGCCCCCCCAGTGCAGGAGGAAGAAGCACTGCCTCTGCCTGCCCGTGACGCGTGCCAATGGGCCACGATGAGGCCTGCCTTTTCCTTGCAGCAGCAGCAGCAGTGCTGCACCGCCGGCTCCTGGCGCTTGTGTGGGCCACGGAGCCTCTCCTGCCGCGCCGGCGCGTGGTGCCTGCGCCAGGCTCCATCTGGCCCCTCGCCCTTGTCTCCGCTGAATTTCATCCTGCCGATTCCAAAGCAATTCCCCGACATGCCCAGATCCCCTTGAGTTGTGACCTCGCCTCGCGGGGCAGCCGCCCCTCCTCGCTCGGCTCGGCTTGTCTGCATGCTTCGGACTCGCGTGCTCCGACTTGTACTTGCACGCTTCATACTTGCATGCTGTAACTCGTACTAGCACGCTCGGACTTGTACTTGCACGCTGTGGCTTGTTTCATGCTC